ATCTCTATGAGTCTCTATGTATCTCTATGAGTCTCTATGCATCTCTATGAGTCTCTATGTGTCTCTATGAGTCTCTATGTATCTCTATGAGTCTCTATGTGTCTCTATGAGTCTCTATGAGTCTTTATGTATCTCTATGTATCTCTATGGGTCTCTATGTGTCTCTATGTATCTCTATGAGTCTCTATGAGTCTCTATGTATCTCTATGTATCTCTATGAGTCTCTATGTATCTCTATGGGTCTCTATGTATCTCTATGTGTCTCTATGTATCTCTACGAGTCTCTATGTATCTCTATGTATCTCTATGAGTCTCTATGTATCTCTATGTATCTCTATGAGTCTCTATGTATCTCTATGGGTCTCTATGTATCTCTATGGGTCTCTATGAGTCTCTATGATTCTCTATGTATCTCTATGTGTCTCTATGTATCTCTACGAGTCTCTATGTGTCTCTATGTATCTCTATGTGTCTCTATGTATCTCTATGAGTCTCTATGTATCTCTATGAGTCTCTATGCATCTCTATGAGTCTCTATGTGTCTCTATGAGTCTCTATGTATCTCTATGTATCTCTATGAGTCTCTATGTGTCTCTATGTATCTCTATGTATCTCTATGAGTCTCTATGTATCTCTATGAGTCTCAATATATCTCTATGAGTCTCTATGTATCTCTATGGGTCTCTATGATTCTCTATGTATCTCTATGAGTCTCTATGTATCTCTATGGGTCTCTATGTATCTCTGTGTCTCTATGTATCTCTATGAGTCTCTATGTATCTCTATGTATCTCTATGAGTCTCTGTGTCTCTATGTATCTCTATGAGTCTCTATGTATCTCTATGAGTCTCTATGTATCTCTATGTATCTCTATGGGTCTCTATGTATCTCTATGTGTCTCTATGTATCTCTATGGGTCTCTATGTATCTCTATGTATCTCTATGTATCTCTATGAGTCTCTATGTATCTCTATGAGTCTCTATGGGTCTCTATGTATCTCTATGTGTCTCTATGCATCTCTATGAGTCTCTATGTGTCTCTATGAGTCTCTATGTATCTCTATGAGTCTCTATGTGTCTCTATGTATCTCTATGTATCTCTATGAGTCTCTATTATCTCTATGTATCTCTATGTGTCTCTATGTATCTCTATGTGTCTCTATGTATCTCTATGTATCTCTACGTATGTCTATGATTCTCTATGCATCTCTATGTATCTCTATGTATCTATATGAGTCTCTATGTATCTCTATGTATCTCTGAGTCTCTATTATCTCTATGTATCTCTATGTATCTCTATGTGTATCTGTGTATCTCTATGTATCTCTATGAGTCTCTATTATCTCTATGTATCTCTATGTATCTCTATGAGTCTCTATGCATCTCTATGTATCTCTATGTATCTCTATGAGTCTCTATGTATCTCTATGTATCTCTATGTGTCTCTATGGGTCTCTATGTATCTCTATGTATCTCTATGGGTCTCTATGTATCTCTATGTATCTCTATGGGTCTCTATGTATCTCTATGTGTCTCTATGTATCTCTATGAGTCTCTATGTATCTCTATGTATCTCTATGAGTCTCTGTGTCTCTATGTATCTCTATGTATCTCTATGAGTCTCTATGAGTCTCTATGGGTCTCTATGTATCTCTATGTATCTCTATGGGTCTCTATGTATCTCTATGAGTCTCTATGTATCTCTATGAGTCTCTATGTGTCTCTATGTATCTCTATGGGTCTCTATGTATCTCTATGAGTCTCTATGTATCTCTATGGGTCTCTGTATCTCTATGTATCTCTATGGGTCTCTATGTATCTCTATGCATCTCTATGAGTCTCTATGTATCTCTATGTATCTCTATGTATCTCTGAGTCTCTATGCATCTCTATGTATCTCTATGGGTCTCTATGTATCTCTATGTGTCTCTATGAGTCTCTATGCATCTCTATGTATCTCTATGAGTCTCTATGTATCTCTATGGGTCTCTATTATCTCTATGAGTCTCTATGTATCTCTATGAGTCTCTACGTGTCTCTATGTATCTATGGGTCTCTACGTATCTCTATGTATCTCTATGAGTCTCTATGTATCTCTATGAGTCTCTATGTATCTCTATGTATCTCTATGAGTCTCTATGGGTCTCTATGTATCTCTATGAGTCTCTATGTGTCTCTATGTATCTCTATGTGTCTCTATGTATCTCTATGTGTCTCTATGGGTCTCTATGTGTCTCTATGTATCTCTATGTATCTCTATGTCTCTATGTATCTCTATGAGTCTCTATGTATCTCTATGTATCTCTATGTGTCTCTATGTATCTCTATAAGTCTCTATGTATCTCTATGTATCTCTATGTATCTCTATGGGTCTCTATGTATCTCTATGAGTTTCTATGTATCTCTATGAGTCTCTATGTGTCTCTATGTGTCTCTATGTATCTCTATGAGTCGCTATGTATCTCTATGAGTCTCTATGTGTCTCTATGTATCTCTATGAGTCTCTATGAGTCTCTATGTATCTCTATGGGTCTCTATGTATCTCTATGTATCTCTATGAGTCTCTGTGTCTCTATGTATCTCTATGTATCTCTATGTATCTCTATGAGTCTCTATGTATCTCTATGTGTCTCTATGTATCTCTATGAGTCTTTATGTATCTCTATGTATCTCTATGAGTCTCTATGTATCTCTATGAGTCTCTATGTATCTCTATGGGTCTCTATGTATCTCTATGAGTCTCTATATATCTCTATGAGTCTCTATATATCTCTGAGTCTCTATGTATCTCTATGAGTCTCTATGTATCTCTATGAGTCTCTATGTATCTCTATGAGTCTCTATGTATCTCTATGGGTCTCTATGTATCTCTATGAGTCTCTATGTATCTCTATGAGTCTCTATGTATCTCTATGAGTCTCTATGTATCTCTGTGTCTCTATGTATCTCTGAGTCTTTATGTATCTCTATGTATCTCTATGAGTCTCTATGTATCTCTATGAGTCACTATGTATCTCTGAGTCTCTATGTGTCTCTATGTATCTCTATGTGTCTCTATGTATCTCTATGTGTCTCTATGTATCTCTATGAGTCTCTATGTATCTCTATGTATCTCTATGAGTCTCTATGAGTCTCTATGTATCTCTATGTATCTCTATGGGTCTCTATGTATCTCTATGGGTCTCTATGTATCTCTATGTATCTCTATGAGTCTCTATGTGTCTCTATGTATCTCTATGAGTCTCTATGAGTCTCTATGTATCTCTATGGGTCTCTATGCATCTCTATGTATCTCTATGAGTCTCTGTGTCTCTATGTATCTCTATGTGTCTCTATGTATCTCTATGTATCTCTATGAGTATCTATGTATCTCTATGAGTCTCTATGGGTCTCTATGTATCTCTATGTATCTCTATGAGTCTCTATGTATCTCTATGTATCTCCATGTATGTCCATGTATCTCTATGGGTCTCTATGCATCTCTATGAGTCTCTATGTATCTCTATGAGTCTCTATGTATCTCTATGTATCTCTATGCGTAGCCGCAATCGCTTCACGCGGTGTGCCCGCTGCTGCAGGCGAGGTGGTAGTTAGTGATAGTTAGTAGTTAGTGATAGTTAGTAGTTAGTGATAGTTAGTAGTTAGTGATAGTTAATCGATAATAGTGATTAACAATCAATCGCAATGTGAACAGCTTAAACCTACCATTGCAGCTGCTATTCATCTTCCGGAAGACGTCTTTATCTTCCGGAAGACGTCTTCATCTTCCGGAAGACGTCTTCATCTTCCGGATGATGTCATGGTCTTCCGGAAGTTATCTTCGTCATCCGGAAGATGTCTTTGCCTTCCGGAAGAGGACTTTGTTTTCCGGAAGATCTCTTTGTCTTCCGGAAGATGTCTAAGACTTCCGGAAGACGCCTTTCGCTTCCGGAAGACACCAGACCTCACTCTGGGGTTGAATGCGGTGGAAATTCCACATTTTGATGGTGGTTGTGGGCAAAGTCCATCCAGTTACATAAACACAATTATTGCGTGGGTGGGTGAGTGAGTGGGTGAGTGGGTGAGTGAGTGGTGAGTGAGTGGGTGGTTGAGTGGGTTGGTGAGTGGGTGGGTGAGTGAGTGGGTTGGTGAGTGGGTGAGTGAGTGGGTGAGTGGGTTGGTGAGTGGGTGAGTGAGTGGGTGAGTGGGTGGGTTGGTGAGTGGGTGGGTGAGTGGGTGAGTGAGTGAGTGGGTGAGTGAGTGGGTGGGTGGGTGAGTGGGTGGGTGAGTGGGTGAGTGAGTGGGTGAGTGAGTGAGTGGGTGAGTGGGTGAGTGGGTGGGTTGGTGAGTGGGTGGGTGAGTGGGTGAGTGGGTGGGTGAGTGAGTGAGTGGGTGAGTGAGTGAGTGTGTGGGTGAGTGAGTGGGTGAGTGGGTGGGTGGGTGAGTGAGTGGGTGGGTGAGTGAGTGGGTGATTGAGTGGGTGAGTGGGTGGATGAGTGAGTGGGTGGGTGAGTGAGTGAGTGGGTGAGTGAGTGGGTGAGTGGGTGGATGAGTGGGTGAGTGAGTGGGTGGGTGGGTGAGTAAGTGGGTGGGTGGGTGAGTGGGTGGGTGGGTGAGTGAGTGGGTGAGTGAGTGGGTGAGTGGGTGGGTGGGTGGGTGAGTGGGTGGGTGGGTGAGTGAGTGAGTGGGTGAGTGGGGTGAGTGAGTGGGTGAGTGAGTGAGTGGGTGGGTGAGTGGGTGGGTGGGTGAGTGAGTGGGTGGGTGAGTGGGTGGGTGGGTGAGTGGGTGGGTGAGTGGGTGAGTGAGTGGGTGGGTGGGTGAGTGGTTGGGTGAGTGGGTGAGTGAGTGAGTGAGTGGGTGAGTGGGTGGGTGAGTGAGTGGGTGAGTGAGTGGGTGAGTGAGTGAGTGAGTAGGTGGGTGAGTGAGTGGGTGGGTGAGTGGGTGAGTGAGTGGGTGAGTGTGTGAGTGAATGGGTGAGTGGGGGGATGAGTGGGTGGGTGAGTGAGTGGGTGAGTGGGTGAGTGAGTGGGTGAGTGAGTGGGTGAGTGAGTGGGTGAGTGGGTGGATGAGTGGGTGAGTGAGTGGGTGGGTGGGTGAGTAAGTGGGTGGGTGAGTGGGTGGGTGGGTGAGTGAGTGGGTGGGTGAGTGAGTGAGTGGGGATGAGTGGGTGAGTGGGTGAGTGAGTGGGTGAGTGAGTGAGTGGGTGGGTGAGTGAGTGGGTGAGTGGGTGGGTGGGTGAGTGAGTGGGTGGGTGAGTGGGTGGGTGAGTGGGTGGGTGAGTCGGTGAGTGAGTGGGTGGGTGGGTGAGTGGTTGGGTGAGTGGGTGAGTGAGTGAGTGGGTGAGTGGGTGGGTGAGTGAGTGGGTGAGTGAGTGGGTGAGTGAGTGAGTGAGTAGGTGGGTGAGTGAGTGGGTGGGTGAGTGGGTGAGTGAGTGGGTGAGTGTGTGAGTGAATGGGTGAGTGGGGGGATGAGTGGGTGGGTGAGTGAGTGGGTGAGTGGGTGAGTGAGTGGGTGAGTGAGTGGGTGGGTGAGTGGTTGGGTGAGTGGGTGAGTGAGTGAGTGAGTGGGTGAGTGGTGGGTGAGTGAGTGGGTGAGTGAGTGGGTGAGTGAGTGAGTGAGTAGGTGGGTGAGTGAGTGGGTGGGTGAGTGGGTGAGTGAGTGGGTGAGTGTGTGAGTGAATGGGTGAGTGGGGGGATGAGTGAGTGAGTGTGTGGGTGGGTGAGTGGTTGGGTGAGTGGGTGAGTGAGTGAGTGGGTGAGTGAGTGAGTGGGTGAGTGGGTGGGTGAGTGGGTGAGTGAGTGAGTGAGTGTGTGAGTGGGTGAGTGAGTGAGTGAGTGGGTGAGTGGGTGGGTGAGTGAGTGGGTGAGTGGGTGAGTGAGTGAGTGGATGGGTGGATGAGTGAGTGGGTGAGTGAGTGAGTGGGTGTGTGAGTGGGTGGGTGAGTGAGTGGGTGAGTGAGTGAGTGGGTGAGTGGGTGGATGAGTGGGTGAGTGGGTGGGTGAGTGGGTGGGTGAGTGGGTGGGTGAGTGAGTGGGTGAGTGGGTGGGTGAGTGGGTGAGTGAGTGGGTGAGTGAGTGAGTGGGTGAGTGGGTGAGTGAGTGAGTGGGTGGGTGAGTGGGTGGGTGAGTGAGTGGGTGAGTGGGTGGGTGAGTGAGTGGGTGGGTGAGTGGGTGGGTGAGTGGGTGGGTAGGTGAGTGAGTGGGTGAGTGTGTGAGTGAGTGGGTGAGTGGGTGGATGAGTGGGTGAGTGTGTGAGTGAGTGGGTGAGTGTGTGAGTGGGTGAGTGAGTGGGTGAGTGTGTGAGTGAGTGAGTGGGTGTGTGTCAGTGACAAAGTGCAAAAGGGTAACTTGTAGTAACCTCCCTTATCGAATATTTATCTGAAGATCATTTGGAACAACAAATAATAAAAAACGCTGGGTGGCACCGTTGGTTCGTCAGGAGCGGTGGCGCAGTGGTTAGCGCACTGTGTGTGTGTCTATGTGTGTGGATCTGTGTGTGTGTGTCTATGTGTGTGTCTGTGTGTGCGTCTGTGTGTGTGTGTCTATGTGTGTGTCTGTGTGTGGATCTGTGTGTGTGTGTCTATGTGTGTGTCTGTGTGTCTATGTGTGTGTGTGTCTATGTGTGTGGATCTGTGTGTGTGTGTCTATGTGTGTGTCTGTGTGTGTGTTTATGTGTGTGTGTCTATGTGTGTGTCTGTGTGTGGATCTGTGTGTGTGTCTGTGTGTGTGTCTGTGTGTGTGTCTGTGTATGTGTGTCTATGTGTGTGTGTCTATGTGTGTGTCTGTGTGTGTGTCTATGTGTGTGTCTGTGTTGTGTCTGTGTATGTGTGTGTGTGTCTGTGTGTGTGTCTGTGTGTGTGTCTATGTGTGTGTCTGTGTGTGGATCTGTGTGTGTGTCTCTGTGTGTGTCTGTGTGTGTGTCTCTGTGTGTGTAGCGGTTAGCGCTACGCTGCGCTATGAACCTGGCGGCCCGAGTTCGATTCCCGCTCACGGCCAACACCAGTGACGATTATCTGAACCGGTCCCGGGCCTCCCCTAGGTCGACTCAGCCTCAAATGAGTATCTGGTGTAGCGGTGTGTAGTAAACATCGCCACTAGGGAGACAAAGGCGGTCGGGCGTGGTGCTGGCCACCCACCCCCTCGTGTACCGTTCCGGCCTTCATAGGTGCTCGCTAACAGCACTTGCCCCTACAGTCTGTTAAGGCTATATGGGGGATCTTTTGTTTGTGTGTGTGTCTGTGTGTGACTGTGTGTCTCTGTGTGTAAAGGTCGCTCGTTCCCCGCTAACTCGACCCTGCCCTAAGGGTGTCTCCCCCTCCTCCTCCCTCCTCACAGCACTTCTCCTGACATCCCCTGCTAGAGGCTACCTGGGGGAGCTTTGTCTGTGTAACAGCACTTGCCCCTACAGCCCTGCTAGAGGCTACCTGGGGTGGCTTTGTCTGTGTCTGTGTGTAACAGCACTTGCCCCTACAGCCCTGCTAGAGGCTACCTGGGGGAGCTTTGTCTGTGTAACAGCACTTGC